TTTTTTTTTTTTTTTTTTTTTTTTTTTTTTTTTTTGTTTGTTTGTTTGTTTAATATAAAATATTTTTCTTACAAGTAATGTTTTGTTTTTTTTTTTTCTTTGTCTGCACATTCTAACATTTTCAGAACTGGTATTACCATGTTTTATGGGGTATAGTGTACTACTTTTGTAAGATCTACCTGCAAAAAAAAACAACAAAACAAAAAACTTGACAAACTTGGTTATCTTTTTTTTCCCCTTTAAAGCTGCTTTTAAAATTGTGAAGGGTTGGCTTGGCCCTGATGCAATAAGTATGCTAAAATTCACGAACAAGAGTGATGTGCAGGAATACATCAGTGGAGAATATTTGCCACCTCACATGGGTGGAACTGTAAGTATATTAACATTCCATCATCCTTTTGTGTTAGATTGAGGCATGTTTATTTAATAACTTACATGGTGTTACAGTTTGGCACTTCATGGATATGAAATTTCTCGATTCTGTCAGAGTGATGGTTTGTAAGTCACATCAGTAAAAAATGGATTAATTTTATGAGAATTTAGTATCTTAATCTTAAGTACGGAAATCAGTTCTGTGAATGATTTTAATTATTCATTTGCAAGTCACAGGGAGCCTTGTTTTCAAATCTTCAACAAAAACACCCTGCCCCTTTCAAGTGCCATTTCTTTTATCTTATTCTCCCCCAGCTGATGAATTAGGGAGATTGAGTGGGTTTATGACAAGTTGTACAAACAGAAAATAGATTTTGTGCCCCTCTGAAATTTTTCATCTTTTTCCAAAGGCACGGTTCTGTGTTTTCTACTGTCATTCCTCATAGCTAATTCCTTCTTCGAAGAAAGAAGCTTGTGGCTTTGCTAACTATTTTTCTTAAGTGCCTATATGGAGCGTGCAGACTTGGTTATCTATCCTCCTTCAATCCTGAAGTGTTTCAGTGCTTAGCTAGTACTAGCTAGCTCCATGTTGCACAGCTTCTAGGAATGTCTGTAAGTCCCAGAATCTTGGAGGCTGTTTACCTAAACTACTGATCTGCAGTAATAAGTTGCAGTGACAGTGATAAATTAGTAGAATAGAAGTGTGTTTGTTTGACAAGGACTCCAAGTGTGCTTACAGTTTCAGGAAAAAAATGTATGCATGCTTTTTAAAAGCCATGTATTTTGAGCCTGCAGTTATTTTGTCTAAATATTGAGTGTCTTTGATATTTAACCTGTTAGGTGGGTATTCTGAACTTTAAACCTCAGAACTGTCACTGTTTGGAAACATTGTTAACAGGTATTAAGTTAGGCTCCAACATCTTTTCAGAGAAGGCGTATTTTCTTGGTGTGATTGACCTTGTCTTCTCCTGAGTCAACTTGAAATCTGATGAGGGAGTACACCTACTGCTATTAATGTTGACAGGATTATGGGGTTTTCTGTTTATTTTAAGGTACTATCTGATTTGTAAATACTAATTCCTTGTGCTTTCCTCTGAAATATCTTTCCCCTTCCCATTTCTTTTCATCCTCTTTGATTTCTACCCATTTAGGAATAGATGGTCAGTTTTGCTATCAGCATGATACAGTTGAAGAGCATGGCATATCTGTGTATTCTTTGGCTGTAGTACTGAACAAGCAAAATAGACTCTCCTTTCTACTATGCTCCCTAATGGTATCTGTCCTAGAAGAGCCAGGTTTTACTGTTTAGGGAAATGCAGAGAAGGTATAAACTATGGAATACAGGTGTCCAAAAGAAATTTTTGAGACCTCTTTGGGGACTTAAAAGGATGATCTATATGTTTTTTGACAAATAATGGACTAAGGTGGCTGCAGAGTATCTAAGACATTACATTAATACTGATCATGGAAAACATCAATGTAGATTTTTCAGAACTCTGCATATATGCTTGAACTTCATCTTGCTCAAGAGTGAGCATGTGCGCATGCAACAGGATTTTTGAACTTCTGTATTTGCCCATTTTGTCAGAAGTGAGCAGTCAGCCTTATTAATTCACTTCTCTCTGCACTAGTGCCAGGATTGAGCAGCATTTTTAACTAGAATACTGTGCTCTTCACTTGGTTATCTAAATTGAAAGCCTATAGCTTGTTTTCTTAAAGCACTGTTTTTAGGTCAGTATTTAATTTGTTAATTAAGACGTCACTGGGCTTTTTGCTTGTGATTTCATGACCGTTGTGTACACCTTGTCTTAGAAAATATCACTACCATGAATAAAACTTGTATGGCTCTTGCCAGTGTCCCATAATAGAAAACTATCATTTTTTGAAATGGATGCATTGAACAGCAAATAAATCTGTCTTGTTTATCTGTCTGAGCCTTCAACCCTGTTAGCAGATAGCCAGTGTCACTTAAACTGATTGACTGTGACTGAGAAGTGTGAGACTTTGAGTTGTCTCAATGATGAGATGCTTTTTGGCTACTGCCATTACCCAGCATTGTGGATTAATGTGGCCAAGTGAAGTATGCAGCAAACTTAGCATCGCTTTATCAAGGCCACTGTGCCATATGTCCTCCATGGAAGGGAGTGAAAAGGCTCTGTATTGCTTGGGTGAAGGGGAACATTCTGCAAGTCTTCCGTAATATTTCTCTCTGTCTGGAATCTTTTAACAGTTAATTAGTCTGTTAGTGCTACTTAAACGTATTCACCAGGCCCTTCAACTGAAAACTGCTTGAGCTGGAGAATGTTTCTTCCTTTCATCTTTCAGCTAAAGGCCTACAACTGTTACTTCAGCCTGAAAAATAGGAAATCTTTATACCTTGATTAAAGATAAACAGGAAATACGTGGTTTTATTTGAGGTTTCTTTGGATGGCTGTCTATTTAAATTTCTTTCATGGGATCACATAATTTATTTCTGTTGTACAGGGAAAACAAACCTGCTTTTTTTGGTCTGTGCTGGTAGTGTAGTTTGGGACCTGTGGGCATGGCTCCAGTCCGTCTCACAGAATTCAAAGCTATGATATTGACCAATTCAGTTTACTTAGGAGTATAAGACTGTTTGAAATTGCAGTAGGAACAGAGGGCCCTATTTAAACATTTTCTTACACTGAAAACTAACATTTAAAAACTAATTGGGGAAGGTGAAAAGCATTTCTAGTTAACAAAATCTAATTTTTACTGTTTCTCTTTGTTATGCAAGCACTGAGAACCTTGCTGCTTCTTGCTTGCTTGAGTATGCTGCTTCTACTTATTCATTTGTTCTGAAGGAGATCTTTAAATTGATTTGGCATGCAAAAATGTGAACTGCAGAATGTTAAAAATCCTCACAATTAATTGAAATTAGAGGATTTAAAGAATACTTTCAAATTGCTACTACTACGTAATTAAAAATGCAAAGGACTTTTTCTGTCACTTGGAATGCTCTTTAAAAAGATAAAATCATCTCTGTTGGGAAAAGACCTTCAAGATCACAAAGTCCTAGTATCAGCCTGACCCCATCCATCCTGGCCTTGAGCTCTGCAAGGGTGGGGAATCCACAGCCTCTCTTGGCAGCCAGTTCCATCACTTCACCACCCTTTCAGTGAAAACCTTCCCAACACATAATCTGCATCTCCCTTCCATTAATTTAGAACTATTCCCCCTTGTCCTGTCAATTACTACCTGTATGAAAAGTTGATTTCCCTCCTTTCTATTATCTCTGTTTAAATATTGGAAGGCTGCAGTGAGATCTCCCGGGACTCTTCTCCAGGCTGAACAAGCCCAACAGTCACTCCCTTTCCCTGCAGGCCACCCCTCTTTTGATGCAGCCCAGGGTACTGCTTGCCTTCTGAGCTGCAAGTGCGTGCTGCTGGCAGTGATAAGATCAGTGATGAAATGGAACTATTGGTAGCATAAGCTTTCTTAACAGTGATGCAAAGCAAAGTGGATAATTGAAACCTACGAGTTGTTTGAAACAACATAATGAATTCATGGTATTTCCACTTAAAAACAGTAGAAAAGGTCCTTTGCATTATCCTAAGAGGTCCTTTATAAATCTCCTTTTTCTTCTTAGGATTCTTTCAAGTACAGTTATCCTCCACTGGTAGACGATGACTTTCAAACGCCTTTATGTGAAAATGGGCCTATCACGAGTGAAGATGAACATGAAAGTAAAGAAGAGATAGATAGTGATACCAAGGAACCTGGAGATCTGAATGAAGAACAAAATCTTAATCAGAAAAAGGTATCTAACTCTGAAAGCTGAGGCAACTATTCACATGGCTACAAATCAGGATAAGAGGCATGCGATTTTTGTTTCTTGTCTGGCTTTCACTTTGTATTGCCTCAATTTGAAATACGTACACAGAAAAATGGAAAATTAAAATTACAGTTTCTACCTTGATTCTTAGTTTGAACAGACTGGACTGTTAAGATTGGCTTCTAAATGAGTAAAATGTGTACTTAGTATTTAATATCTTTATTACAGTGAATTATGTAGCGAAATTTAGAAGATGTGTTATGTTCAAAACTTGCCTAACTGGTGAACTTCTATTCTTAAGATATCTTGTGGCAAACATCTTAAAATATCTATTTTTCTCAGATGCTTAAATTAAATGCTTGAGAAAATATCAGATAAATAGTAAAATGTTACTATGTGCCTACTTCTAAAAATCATAAAAGTAATTGCTTATCTCTGAAGAAATTACATCCCTAATGCATCATCTTGTATTGAAAATATAATTTCCCTTCAGAATGTTAAAGGTATTGATTTATGTAGAATTCTATGAAGTTAATCCTCAGAATATGCAATCATAGTCAGTGAGGATATTGTATTTAGAAAGGACAGGGGAGGGGAAAAAAACAAATGTGAAATTCATTCACCAGTGCCGCACTTCATTTTGGAATATGAATTGCAAAACTTTTTTAAAGTAGTGAAATTCTTAAAGATTACATTTTTATTTTCATTTACTGTTTTATGTTTTTATCAGAATAATTTGAAATGTGGCTGTTTTTACAGTGCTCATTTGTAACTTGGCCATCTATTTATATAAATATATATCACTGAGTTTAAAGTCAGAAGGAGGCATTACATAGCTATTCTAACTTCACAACAGGTAGACTAACTTGTTTTGGTTGTGGCACATCTGCTAAGATGTGATTCTCAGAAATAGGAACATAATCACTGTTTAGTTTGAAAGTTAGCTTTGGTGCTGAACTGCCTCAATATTTAATTACTTGTTTTATTTCAGATTTCTACTTAGTGAACTTTTTCAGTATTTAAAAATAACAGTTTATGGTATTTTTCTATTTCCTACAGCATAATCAAGCTACCACTCAATCTTCTGAATTAAGCTGATCATTTATACTCATCCATTCTTAATTTAAAGACATGTTTAATACCCAATCTTTAACATACTTCTAAAATTCAGGCTCCATGCCATTGTTGGCGCTGTTCCTGTTCAAGGAAAAAGTCAGTTGTCTTGCTTCAGTATGCTTTCTGTTCACATAAAAATAACACTTGCCATTTCTAACACAGATGTGTCAGTGTTTGCCCCTTCTATGTTGAGCTTCTTCCAAGCTATTTTTCAGAAACTGTTCCTTATTTTACGAATGTTTGGCATATTAAAAGAGGTTATTTTGTACTTGACTGTTCATAAATATGACTTATCAAATATTTTTGGATAAGGCCAACTTCTGAAGTGACAGGTTTCAAGTGACCTGTGAGATTTCATTATTATTTACTATGTTACTGGTATTTATTTGCATTATCTGCAGATTTTTGTAATCACTAAGAATTCATCTGATTTATTTTTATGTATGCCTCCTCTAATCCCATGGAAGTGCCTTTTTCTTTCCACAGAGTAGAGGGAACCATGAGCAATAAACTTAATTGTAAGTGCCTTTTCTGTAGACACCTGTATTTAGCATGTGAGATTCCACCTTCAGTGGGTACTACTGTAATTTTTTTTCCTGGTAATTTAAATTGGAGTTATGTAGAATAAATCCAAACACATTGACTATGCAGTGTATTTATACAATAATCTTTTAAAATAACCACAGTTACAATAAGTGAAACTACTATGTTTGAGGTGTTTTGTTTTTGTTTTTTTACCAAAATCCATCTTCTGTGGTACTGTATTTCTTCAATTCCCACACTTCAGATAACTTACATAAACTGAATACCCTTCCTATCTTCTGTCACTGTTTCAAGTGGAATAAACACAAAGCTAAGCAGAATGTTTAGCTTGCTGATTTTCTCAAGTCATCATGCCACTTATTTTTGCAATTCTCTGTATTTTTTTCTCCCATTCAGCATTTTATTGAGAATAAAGAACTGTAGAGTTGTGAGGTGGACATCCAGCAGGCTTGTTGACTTGTATGTAGTCTCTTAATGTAACAGAAGAAAAACCTCAGAATTTAAGTTCTGTTGTTTGAACTCTCCAATACTTCAGAGATCAGTTTAAAAAATAAAAAATACATTCAGCAAGTTTTTAATGCAGTGAAATGTGGAGCTGTTACTATGTTTTCTATTCAGTGTAACAATGATTATAGTGGGGTGTCACTTGGAAACTTTTGCAGTGAAAGTGTAACATCAGTACTTTCTAAACTGCTACTATAAGTACCACAGTTTGCTTATCTGGTGTCTACAAAAACGACCAACTCAGGCATCAGGAAAAGATACAGGAAGGGGAGAAAAAAGGCATTTTTAATATATAACATGACTTACAATACATTTTTTTTATGTGATGGGCTTTCAGAATTGTCAAGCAATGAATACATAGTAAATTTTGTCTGTAAAATGTTAACTGTTGAAATAAGCCTCCTCCTGACATTCTTTAAAATACCTGCATGAATCTGTAGTGTGTGTAACCCAGACTTTTAGTTAATCATTATAACCATCATTTTTACTCAGATGAATTCTGTAGAACAAATTTCCAAGTCAGAGGAAAATGACAAAACAGAGTTCAAACCAAAGAATGCAAAGAAAGCACTAGCCACTTTTAAAGGACCTTTGTTACATATCAGGTAATAATAATTTTCTTTTTTAAAATGTGCCTTGGACACTTGAGTAATTAGTTTTTAAAATAAACTAGACTTTTTCAGGCTATTAAAAACAGCAGTAGTTATTAACAAATACAAATTATATGTTTTTCTGCTTTTATGCATTTTCAGTGAATCTTTGTATATCCATTGGCATGCTTTTTTCTACTTAAGTGTGTGTGTGTGTATATATATGAATAGATAAATTGGAAAACTGTCATCAGTGTATATCTGTAATAAGAATGATTGGTAATTTGGCACTATTTCTTACACCAATGAAATCAACTATTTGTGAAAACAACTTTCACTGTTAAGATAAAACTATTGAAGCAAGATTGAAGGTGGCACCTGTGCTAGTACCTTGAACCAATTTGAATGGGTACAATTCTTTGTGTGGGAAGTGCTGTCTAAATTGCACACCTGCTTACAATCTCAAATGGCAGTATTTTTATGTCTAGCAGTTAATCTCTTTTTCAGCACAAAAGTTCAAGAAAAATCAATTAGACAATCTCCTTTCTCACTGCTTTTCAGGTTAAGATGCTTGTTTAGAAAATGATGTAGATCTTAACTTGTATTTTCATTTACAGTTCGCCATTAAATGAATGAAGAAAATAGCTAATTTATAGATAATTCCTTAGCTAATTTTGTAACTGCTGCACTGAATTAGATTTGGAATGGATTTGAATAATGACATATTCATTAGCATCTAAACGTTTGTATGTCAAATTTTAATATGTTTGAAATGAAAATTAGCTTTTTGCATATAAATAACTATGTGAAGTTCTACATTCTTGGTTGGCAGTACAAAGGCATAGACTGTGGAATTGTTATCTTGAAGGGATTTATAAAATCCATGGGCATCTACTTAAGATTTTTCATGAAGAGAACTCAGAGGAAATACTTTTGTTTTCTTTCCTTCTGACAAATGAAGTAGATCCATCCACCTACTTAAAGAAAAAAAAAAATTAAAAAAAAAAAAAACCAACAAGTTTAAGAGAAAAAACCACTTCTTTCCTGCTACAAACATAGATGTGTTGCAGATTATGTAAACTCAAGAAGAATGAATGTTACGAATATTAGCACCTTTATAGTTGACTGCCTTGTTATCATGGAAAATAAAAATACTGGTATCCCCCTTGGTCCTGCTTTTTTTTTTTTTTTTTTTTTCCTCAAGTAAACTCTTGAAAGCATGTGTTCTCTTGTTGCTCTTTGCTAATACTGTCACTTTGTAGATGAAAACCTGCTTATAGTTTCCCTGGCCTCTTTGTCAGAGCACTGAACAAACAAATAACCAGCAATTTTCTGCTCACAAGTATCTATGTCACACATGAGGCATGAATAAACACTGTAGAGCTAGCTTTTGTTTGCTGATACCAGCATTGTTGTCTTGGCGTGGGGACAGAAGCAGAAACCGAGTAACAGCAATGTTACTCATTGCTATGTAGTCAGTAAGAGTCAGTTGCCTTTTTGTCCCAAACTGCTTCTGCAGAGGACATCCTGCATTGATATTCCTTACCTATCACTGCCTGCCACTTGTTTGCCCTGATATATGACTAGAGCTGAATCACAAAGCAGAACTAGCAAACATGCTCTTCTCTTTTCCTCACGCATATGGTCATGCTCACAAGTAACTTTCTCTTTCTGGTTAGTATCACTATTGCATTTGCCTTGTAGGCCTTCCTAGGAAAGGCTGGCGTTTATTGGCCTTTCTCATGAATAACTTACTGTATTTGATAAGGTTAAAAAAAAAAAAACAAAAACACAGCAAATAAAAGACAAAAGAAAACCCATCTGTTTACTCACATTTTTTTTAGCAGAAGAGTAGCTCATAATGTGCTTATAGACAAGACTTTGTGATATGATACGAACTGTTTATTCTCCCCACACCTCAGATAGTAAAGAAGGTAGTGTGAGAAGGCTTTGGTGCTTATAGTATCACCTCCATCCCCTACTATGTAACTGCTTGACTTGACAGGCAGTAAGCCTTCAGAGCTGGTTCTCAAGTGTTCTGCTGTGGGTTTTTTTTTTTGTCGGTTGCCACAGCTTGTGGAACAGCAAGAAGCATGGGGCTGTGGCACAATATTCCTTTCTTCTGGCTCTTTTTGCCTGTTTGGCACTAGTTTATGCTTTTCAATCCCATTGATGATTTCTCTACATTTTCTCTAACGTTCACACCAACAGTAGCTTAGCATTAATGTCACTGAAATGCCCTGTAGCTACAATCCTTTTCCCTATTGTTGCTGAGTATTTGAAAATTTGTGAATGGGAATGAAAGATCTCAGAGGAGAAGGAGGTATACTTAGTTACCTTATTAGCCTTTTTCACACCCATCAGTTTTTGCCTTGCTTAGCACAGTTCCTTCCTCCCTGTCAAGAATGTTTTCATGTGGACTGTCTAGCATACTGCAAAACATAGGCACCTTCCTCCCATGCAATCACTGTTGGACTCTTGTTCTAGCATAGGAGTTCAGGTTTGCCATCCAGCACCAAGAATTATTTCTCTTGGCTAATGTGCTGATGTGTTTAGATGAGAGAGAATAAAGCATTGGTGTTATTAAGTGAGATTGTTTGAGGAAGAGATCAAAAATGAAACTAGTATTCAAGAAAGAGGCAAAGGGCAGAAGAAGGCAGAAGTAAGTTCTTTTTGAAAAAGAATATCCAATGCCATATTACTACATGCTATGGGAGTTCTTTGCGTAGTCCTTACACTGCATATATGAAGGAAGCAGTTTTTCATTGTTACTTGAACTTCCTGTCAGCTTGTAAATGAGCATGCCCTACTTTAGGCCTTGCAGTGTTCATTTGAATTCATAATCCCAAATGAATTATAGTAGTTGGATGTGGTTTTAAAAGATTTTATGCATGACTCTTAATTGCATAAGATATTAAAATAAGCAAAACCTTAGGTTTATTTACACATCTTCAGAGGTATGTGAAGACTGACTCATAATCACAAATGAATTTAGCAGTAGTGATTATAATGTTTGCCACTTACAGATACCTGCCTACTCCTCTTATGTGTGCACTACAGCCATTAACAAGGGCAGGCTTATGAGATGGAAATTGCTCCCTGTCTGTAACAGCTTATGGCCTTCCATAATAGAATTGAAATTGATTAAGTTTTCCCTTAACATAGCATTGTAAAGTGCAGGGCTGAAGGGACTGTATCTATCTGCTGGCTATCCCTGCTTTTGCCAGTTGTCATGCTCATGCAGGTAGAAGAATTCAAGGGCAGTAGTCAATTCAACTGATTTTGCTAGGTCCATTTGTGGTCATGAGTCAACTGTAAACGTCAGTACAAAATTTCTGTGCCTTTTTCACGTTTTTTTAATGGGAAGCTGTTTACAGCAACCATAGCTGAAAGGTTCAATGTATTTTACTTCCCTGTAGAGGTGATGAGGTTTTTTTATATCGTATTTAATAAAGATAATTTGAATAAACCAGCCTTTCTGTATTTTTTTTGCCAGTCCTGCAGAAGAACTATATTTTGGATCCAAAGAAACTGGAGAGAAAAAGTGTTTGATAGTTCTGACAAATGTCACTAAAAACGTAGTAGCTTTTAAGGTAAATATATTAAGCATGATTTGGTTTACTTTATTAAATGTTTAACTTCTGCATAGTTTCGATAAGGAGGAAGAAATACTATTAAGTTCCTTTCCAAGGGCTTAATTTTTTTAACACTGTTGGGGTTTGTTTGAAAGCAGATCAAGGAAATATTTTGGCTGAATTTGTTCCTGTGGTATGCCACCCCAAAGAACAATCAATAACACAAATCTTTGGAGCATTGGCTGAAAAAGAGCTATTAGAGATGGTTAGTTCTTTGGTGACAGTATAGTACTTATAACAATCAACAAGAAAGCAGTGAGCTTTGGAGATGGGTGTCCTTAGAACTTTTTGCCTTTTAAAATCTTGACTGGGAATAAGTTAGTAACGCTCCATAATGATGCAGCTGCGTCTGCAAATGTCACTATCAAAGGAATTAATGCAGTTATGTTTGCTTCAGAAATTCTGAATTGGCTTGCATCCTGGTTTGGTTTTCCAACATATATTTTGTGTTCTCTTCACACACAAGTAACTAAAGTTTCCATACTTTCCAGAATTTTGTCAGGTGTTCCATTTGAAAGTGGATGAGAGGAAAAAATGAAATAGTGTGATTACTCCTACAGAGTAAGGTATTTTAAAGATATGCTTCACTCTGTCTTAATCAGTCTTTAAGGATTTCTGTGTTATTGGTCAATACAGAATTAGATTATGAAAAGGTCATCATCTGTGTATTTACTATATACCTGCTTATTATTTTTTTGCATTTAGGTAAGAACGACTGCTCCTGAAAAATACAGAGTTAAACCCAGTAACAGCAGCTGTGAACCCGGCACATCATTAGACATAATAGTCTCTCTTCATGGTGGTAAGTAAAATCTTATGCAGAATTTTTTAGAAAGCCTGGATGATAACATGAAGGCTGACTAGATAGAAAAAATTGCGGGTAGTAAGGCTGAGTGAAACCAGTGTCCACTTGACTGTTGTATGACAGTGTTACCATTTATAAGAGAACATGTCTGTCATACAGCATTTGAGTAACTGCCTATACTGATTTACTACTCCACATAGACATAAGCAGGTGTTGTCTGCAGCTGAGTCCATTTCTTACCTTAAAAAGATACATTTCTTATAAAGTTGTGGGTTACCATTGAATTGCTCAGGTGAAACTAATTCCGTTAAAAGGAAACTGAAGGAATTTAGAAAAATGATAATGAAAGCCGCTGAGCATAAGAATGATTTTATCATTTTTAGTTCCAATAAGTTGGTCCTGCAAAAGTTCTCATTTTAAAATGCTTTTGCTTAAAAGTGTTCCATGTGCTTTGTAATACTATTATTTTATCCAAGCACTTTCCTTTTTTTTTTTTTTTCTTTTTGCTTTTTTTCTTTGAGGGCAGGTTTTTCAGCTTCTCTGCAGGATCGTTTCCTTATAATGGCTGCAGAAATGGACCAGTCTTCTGGATCAGGTGTACCAGAACTGGCTCAGTTTTGGAAAGAAGTCCCTAGGACCAAAGTGATGGAACATAGGTGAGTATAGGGTTTTCAGCTGATAGTTTTTTTGTAGCCATTGTAATTTATCTGATTTATAGCACTTTCATAGTCATAGTTCTTAGTCACTTTCATTATCATAGTCAGTAAAGGATTCTCCAAACTCAGTTGTATGCTTGCTGACTGAAGTATATTACTGCGGCTTTCTGTTTTAAATGAAGAGTTTTTTTAATATGTAAGGCACCTTGCATGGTAGTCTGCACATGCTTTACTTTTTGTTGTTGCTTTATTGCACTGCTCAAGAATTAAGCAAAAAAAAAAAAAAAGGGAATAGATGTGAAAATGCACCTGTGAATTGTGTTTGTGTGTCTATACATATAGAGATACATATACAAATACATACCTATATCTGTTTTCACTTTCTTATGTTTGTTCACATCTAGTAGTACTGCTGCACATTTCTAGGAAAAGTATTCATTTCACCAGAGGAGACTCTACTGTCTCTCATAAACTGTGTAAAATTCCACTATTTCTAATAGTGGCTTGAAACTCTGTTCCTGCATATATTCAACTGTGAGAGAGGTGGAGGACTTGAAAAATAAGGTTGCTAAGGTTTAAAATGGAAATGAAGCCTTTAGATTTTGTTTGCTGTTAACGCTTTGTTGCATTTCTGGTTGCATTTGATTGAGTAAATCCTGTATTACAAATTTCAAATGGTTAAGGTATATTTTATCTGTGCTTACAGATCGTTTTGATCTGCCTTTGTATCAAAAGCTCTCAACATATAATTGATGAAGCTTTTTCAGACTGTCATTACAATAGTTATTTATAAAATTAGTAGATAGCAAAGGACATATAAATAGCAGTTATTTGGACAGTTTACTTTCTCTATTTAATTTTAATTTTTGATTTTTACTGTGCATATTTTTTTTAATCATTTAAACAGGCTCAGGTGTCATGTCATAGAAAGCAGTAAGCCTTCTACTCTGACATTAAAAGAAAATGCACTAAATATTCCAGCAAAAACCAATGAAGATTTACATATGCAGGTAATAATGTATTCCTTTGTGCTAAATCTTGAACAAGCATATAAAATTTGATAAAAAGATTTGTTTTGTACTAGATGTCCTTGATACTTTGTAAATTAGACTGCTTGAAAAGCTTAGAGCTCAAAAGTAAATCAGTGACAGGAATTTAGTTATTTTACTTTACTTAGTGCTAACAGTTTAATAAAGTGTACTTCCAGTGTACTTTTTTCATTCGTCTTGCTTTATGACACGTATCACATGTGAACAGTATCTATTTCTTCCTAGTCTGGAGATGTCACCTGCTTGATACAGGCAATATAAATAAAGTTCTACGCTTCTTTAGTAGAACAGTCTCTTGAAGTATGTAGTGATAGAAAAGGGATCACTAAGAGGCTGTATTTTTAACGTGCTTAAAATTTTGTGGCTAAATTGCTTTACATTAGCAAGTGCTTTCATTTGTGGTAATTTAAAACTATTGAAATGTTTTCTATTTTCAGCTAACTCATTTACTGCAAATTAATAAAAGACTTCAAGAGCAGATTGATCGCTGCCTTTGGTTCCAGCAGTTGTCAGTTGTTTTATCATCATTATCAGTTACTATTGTTGCCTTCTGCTTCTACCTGGCATATAGCCAGAGAAGCTAAAAAGAACCGCGTTGTGCTAAAGATGCTGCCTATCATGGTTGTCTGGAGTGGAAATGATTGCTGCACTACACTCAGATTCTGGAACTGCCACCATGAGGTTTGTGAGCCCACAGCAACGGATGAGTTTGCTGACCGATGAAGTAAGCGACCAACAAAGCGAGTTACTGAGAGTGGACACTTGGAACAGCGTGTGAAGGAGGTGATAGAGCTGGCAGTTTTATTTCCGCTATACAACTTAACAAATACTACTGAATTGGAAGAAGAAAACCAAATACAACAACATAATTTAAAACTTTAGTTGCTTTTTTCCTCAAGTACTTTAAATACAGTATTTCAGTTATTTTCATCATATTCATTCCTACATTCAAAATTACTCTTACAGAAGATGTAAGCATCTGCTTGATGTATTCTAAAGTTTCACGTGTTCTTTCAGGAAAATCTACAGAAATTATGTGCCATGGGCAGATTTTTTGTATAATCTATGTACAGTCTGGTATAAAGGAAGATATCTGTTAGTAATTATTTTCAGGGCCATTGCTTTCTTTAATTAATTTTTTTTTTTTTTTTCCTGAAAGCAAGCATATTGCAAACATTTTCTACCAAATAACATACGCACAGCCATATTGACCAGCAAAATAATTGTGGCTTGATTCCAAAAATAGTAATGAAATAGTCATGCTGAGACACTGTTCCTATTCCCTCCCTGTTTATTTTTTTTATGTTTTTTTTTTTTTGGAAGCAGCTCTTAGTAAAATTGCAGGAGGAGAGTGACAGTTGGCTTTTGATGACCAAGTTACGGTTCCTAAAAAGGCTAATAAATAGTGTAAGGACTGACTCTGAAATGTGCAATATGCTTAAATCACAGATGAATTTATGAAAAACTTCAAGCCAGGAAGATTAAGTATTACTGAAGGTGATATGAAAGTGTTATTTCTACCATTTCTCAGAAAATATTGTAAAAATGGTTTATGAAGCTAGCATTACTTTGTTCTAACAAGAATTCTTTGTATTCGTGGCTGTAAATATGTACATTAAAATGCTAAACACCGTAAAGGAGATTGATGGTATCTTTCATAAATTTGATTTTTTTAACTGTAGATGATGTCTAATTTGTTTACTGAAATTAATTTTTGCTACAATTTAGCGTTGTAGTAGATTTAGCTTTGGTTTGTTGATTTCAATAGATAATACAAGATTATTGGGGAAAAGTAAAGGTCATAATCTGCTTCTGTCTTTTTGGTGATGGTATCTCTCCAGTTCGCTGTAGTTGTAGTATCATTTCTAGGGAATAGAGAAGGACAGTTTAGAAAATGTGTTAATAAACTGATTAGCTAATAAAGCAGGAGTGGTTCAAAGTGATTACTAAAAACAACTGTGTAAAAGGCAAATTGTCAGAACTGGTGCATGGTCTTCTGTCCTTTCATAACTTATACCTTATTTTACCATAGTCTGAGTTTCTTAATTTTTCATTTATCTAATTTCTGTACATTTTCCTTCTCAATATTTTTTTCTGAATGAATTCACAGCTTACATTGTTCACTGTTAACTGTTGAATGTTTAAGTTATTTTCGTGTGCACAAAATTCAGATGCTTTGCTTCCAACAAAATGGGTTGTTGTCTTATTGAGAAAAGTAACAAAGTGATTTATAACTTCCAGATAATAATTACTAGCCATGCTATTAAATTGCTGATTCCTTAATTTGAGTGGATTGAATAGCACTTTACTGTAAAATTGTGAGAAATATATTCTTACAGTCTTTGCCAATATGAATATTTTAATGTTTTGGTGCTTTCATAAATATTTTCTGTATTTTATTACTACGTTGGTATTTTCTTTGTATGATGAATCAGATGAGCATTTTTTTCTATTTTAATATGTTCCAGAAAAATACAGTTACAAAATAAATTTGAGGAAATACACAGTCTTTAATGTTTAGTCTTTTAAAAATAGCTACACCTTCTTAGATTTTGATTCTCTTTTGAGTCTACAGATGCTTAACACGAAGGAGAGGTCAGTACGGTAATGGCCCATTGCCTGCAGTGATAGAAGTACTGATAATACTGTAGTTATGGAGTGTTCAGCAGTCATATGAGTTGACATTTTACCCAAAACTGAGAGAAAAGATTATTGAACTTTCTTTCTAGTGAGACTGGCAGTGTCCAGAGGAGGGCCACTAAGATGATCAGAGGGGCTGGAGCACCTCTCTTATGAGGAAAGGTTGAGAACTGGGCTTGTGTAGCTTGGAGAAGAGAAGGCTCCAGGGAGACCTCATTGTGGCCTGCCAGTATTTGAAGGGAGCATAGAAACAGGAGGGGGAATGGCTGTTTACAAGGGTAAATGGGGGGAATAGTGTAAAACTGAGACAGGGTAGTTTAGATATTAGGATGAAGCTTTTCACACAGAGGGTGGTGATGCACTGGAACAGGTTGCTCAAGGAGGCTGTGGATGCCCCATCCCTGGAGGCATTCAAGGCCAGGCTGGATGTGGCTCTGGGCAGCCTGGTCTGGTGGTTGGTGACCCTGCACGTAGCAGGGGGTTGAAACTAATGATCATTGTGCTCCTTTTCAACCCAGGCCATTCTGTGATTCTATGATTCTATCATCATGTCCAAACACAAAGTGCAGTCATAGCAGTCTTCAGCACAGTTCAAAGAATAGCAGTAGCCTGTTCAAAGGACTTGTAAATTCTTCCTTTTGCCAATGCAGAGTCTCCTGATTTGTTAGTAGTACTTCCTCTCTCCCATTTTCTCATCCTATCAGGTGTATTAGCACTGCATTAGAGTTGGTGGAAATTTAGGGAATCTTGAATATGAAAAAAAATGCCTTTAGCTTCTCTTTATTTATCTTTTATTTCCTTAGGTCCACTGTAGAATGTATTCATTACTTTACTGCCACTTGGGTTTTTCTTCACAAAATATTTTTGTAGATTTTGCCTCTTGCTAAAAATACCTTCTTAGACGAATGGTAAATTATGCATTTTATTCATCTTGATGAGTCCATGAGATATGCCAGCAGTTGATTCAACCAGCGGGAAAACAGTGAGTTCCTTGAAATATTTTTCAGAAGCGTTATGTCGCTGTACATCTTTCCTTTGGTCTTGTTCAGACCTTCCTCCTGAAATAATTATATTTGTCTGTGCAAGCTTATTTTAGATGAGCAAAAAGCTGTCTGTTAGAACTTAGCAGAAGGAATCGATATTGTAATAGGTACTTGCTGCTGTAAAGCTAAATAAGAAAGCGTTACATCTCCTGTTATTCCCATACTTACGTATGTTCCAGTACGTTCCTGTATGCTGTGAAATAGACCAAACAGTAAACAAGCATTCCTGCATTAAGAGAAAAGCCGTAAAGGTTCTGCCCGTCTTACCAATTTCATTTAGAAAGCCAGGAATGCAAAGTGGAGCAACGCTGCACGGCGTGTTCCATGGCTGTGTAAGTGGTCTCCCTAGAGCAAGTATTGCCTTACTCTGAGGCCCAGGAGGAAACAAAAGAATTTTTTTTTTTTTTTTTTGTTCAGATCCAATGTAGTTTAGTTTAATTTACAATTAAATGCCTCGGATACAAGAAATCAAGGTCTCCACTATTGGTCTCACCACAACCACCACCATCTCTTTTTGTGATTATGATGAAATCTGAATTAAGATATCCTTTGGGTAATGATGATGTAGTTTAACAAACCCTGTGTGGTGCTGAATTTTTCAAAATTGCAACTTCCTTGTATTTCCTCTGCCCTGTATCTGTTAAAATCATTGCCAGTATCATTTTTGACAGCTTGGAGCTATATCCGAGCACCTGTTATTCAAACCCCAAAGAAACTGTCAGAAACGAGAAGCATCATTAAATAAATACAGATGACAACAACAGTGTGGAAAGGAAGCATAAACAGAATTTGTTACGCTTTGATTTTCTAGAATGCTACAATTGAGAAATTGCTGCAAGGAAAAGCAGGTCTGGGCAGCCACCACAGGTGCTTCATTAATCTGTTGCAAATGACATTTACAGATGGACGCTTAACGTACTGCCATGAGTGAATGATTACAATCCCCATACCCTGAAGTGCATTTTCATGTACAGAAGTAACATATTTTCTTTTTTTTTATGGTGGTTTTCTTTTTCCTAAGCTTAAACTTGCACCTGATGGTGGTGACTCAAGAAAAGATTGTAGTGTTTTTTAAAGTCAAGTGGTATTTTCTTCTTGAGGAATTCACAGTCTGATAGGCTTTGTTCTTCAAAGAGGATGTAAATACATGGGTTCTGAGTCTAGCCTGGAAAGCAGTGGGAAGCCTTAGAAAAGCAATGTTCATTTGTACCAGTCTGTTGCATTATGTGATAAAAGTACCATTCTAAAATACTACCCTGAGCAAGTGTATATTGAACTCTATGTAATCCCAGATGCTGCTGTTCTAGCAGGCACTGTGATTGGCACACACTGAGTGCCTGGGGGAGTATGGAGTAGGTGCTAAGTACTTTTCTTCCAACCTATACACTAATTACAGTATTCATGTGCTGTTGTCATGTACTCGTGTATGGATGGAGAACATGGGGATGTGGTGCAGTCTGAGAGCCTTCAGAGGGGGTACCCAGTACCCATCTCTCTGAGGAGAAATTGCAAAAGTATCTGTGGAGGTGGATGTGGAGGTAATTCTCTCCACTACATTAGGTAGGTACATCTTCTAGAAACCTTGAGAAGTATTACACAAAAAGAAAAAGGTGAATTAGTCAAGGAAGGTGGTGTATGTTGATTTTGTCTGCTCTTTGGAAATGTGTGGCAGCCAGGTACGTTTGCACTCCATCCATTTCCAGTGAGATTTGCTTTCCATTAACCATCTCAGTTTGGATATATATCTGCAGATCATTAGTCACACAGATGCTGTCTTAGAGCAGTCAGTAATTGAAAATGACATATTGGTCTTTGGAAAACTTTGGATGTCAGCCACCTTTCTTTTGCACACAAGGAGTTGCCCAACATTGTGGTTTAGGTCCTGTATTTTTAAACACATCTGAACTTGCAAAGAACAAAGGAAGAATGCAGTCACCTTCCATTCGGATTAGATGTTATCTGTCAAATGAAAACCTCATGACCAGGTTACAGCCTACTAGAAGGCAATCAGTTTTTGAAGGGTTTTTTTGAAGTGTTCCCATCACTGAAACTGAGGGAACCGCTTATCTGTTTACCAAATGATAAGTTTCTTTGATAGAGTTTTCTAGATGTGAGTCATGCTTCAGCAAAACAGGATTTCAGACTTCTAATATAGCATTCTGGTCTTTTGCATGGGTTACTGCTTTATCAAATCAAAGATGGGAAAGACGTAAAGATTGGACTCTGAAGAAAACAAAAAGCTTACTCAACTCATAGCATGACACTCTCCAGGACAGGTGTTTGAAATACGGCTGCAGTGCATGCTCTCTGTTGAAGATGGACTGTATCAAACTGCCTGGAGGAATGAAACCTGACTATCTTTGCTTTTCTCAGTGTGCTTTGAAAGATGTGGGAGGGGGACACCAGGACACCTCTGAAGACCTTCTCTTGTTGGTGCTGTAAGTTCTTTCTTAGCTGAGGAAACTGATACCAAATGAATATATGTCATTATCTCAAATGAAACATGATTGCATTTCCTATTTCTTCCAACTGCTCAGAGGTCATTCTAGATATTTGCAATCCCGTAAATTTGTCAATTTCGTCAGTTCTGATTTTTCCTTTGTTTTTTGTTACTGCAACTATATCACCTCACTGTATCTCACCTTAGGCTAGTGGATGCTTCACTTGTTATTTTTGTCCCTGGCCCATGGAGACAGCTGAGATCCAGGCACTCAAAAACCCAGCACGGATGTGCACTTTGCTGTTTAAGCTGGTTCCAGGCATGTAAGGATACAAGCATGAAAATGATGCTGTCCTATATGTACCTGTTACCAAAAAGTAATCTCAATCATTTTTGAACTGGTGACAAAAACTGTAAGCATGTGATAATTCAACTTGTTTTATTACATAATAATATATTAAGATCAATCAAAATTTGGTAAAAATTTGTTGAGTAAAATTTCCAATAGGTGTTTTTTTTCCTCCAGGAAATGTAAGGAGTTCTACAACATGAAAATGAGTTGAAAAGCCCCTATCTAGAGACATACCTCCGTGTACTCCATATTTTCTTCAGAGATACCAATATGTTCTGCTGTTACTTATGATAGGGTTTCCATCCAGAACTTATCTGAAATCTCACAGCAAACTGCAAGAAGCTGTGGGAGAAACTGATCAATAATTCCCAGTATAATTTGTGATATAGTGCTGCAGGACAATGAAATCAAAATGTCATTGAATTAGGGAAAATATTTGATTGGTCTAAGTGAATATTTGGCCAGAATTTAAATCTGTGGAAAGCTGGATAAAGGTGGTACTGCAGTAGTTTTGAAGAATTAGAAAACATTTTTAAAATAGTTGTTTACTGAATACAAAGGATTTAATGCTATCTAAAAAGTGAACAAAAAATAATAAGCAGCTCTCTCACCTGACTCTCAGTCAAGGTGATGATGAAAAGGACTGGTATGCATGCTGCAGACTGCTGAGGAGGGCAGGAGTGAAATGGTACTGGTGCCATGACTGCTGCCACATCTACATCTCAAGAGGTGGAAGGCAGTGTGAAGCATGGAGCTCAGCAGAAACCTGACAGAGTTTTGCCTGTGGCCTTCTTTTTTTTTAATAAGTCTGCTTCAGACTTACAGAAATTTTACTGTAATTGCTAGTTATGACAGTCTTCAAATGCTGAAGGTGATCAAAGGCATCAGCTTAAAAATACAAAGCTGGCATTACAAGGAAGTGAT